TAAAGACCCATTGAAAGATCTGCTATTACTAAACAAAACTTAATAGAAGATTGTTGATATAGTTACCAACATTACAAATGATAAATGTTGAACAGTAAGTACTTTTGTAAGAATATTTTTCTACAACAAATATATATATAGATTTTAAGAAACCTAAATTGAACCTTTAAATATTTATCATTCTCTAATATAAATGTGGGGTTCTAATCTGAAAAATTTTCGAAGAATCTAAAAAAATAATGTGTCTCAATAATGTCATTTAAAAAGTTATTTAACTAATCGAAAATCAATTTGTCCCACTGTGAACTTAAGAATTTTTCACACTTATATATATGAGTATTTATACTTACATACATCAAAAAATTCAGAATCAGAGAGGAGCACATAACCCGAACTTATGCATTCTCATGTAGCAGCATCATTGTTGCAGCAAGTCGTTATGTGGCATAACCCTCGCTTGAAACTCTGATATTGCTATCAAATGATAGTTCCACGTTGTATTCAAAAGAGAAAAAAATGGTAAGAATTATATTTCTTTTTATGATCTTACTTCGTTCGTACGACGACCTCAAGCCGTCATCTTACAATACTTCGTCAAAACAAAAAAAAAAGTGAATTTTTTAGGACTTTCAAAATAAAGTGTAGGATGAGAAATGTTTTTTGATTTTTATTGATGTATATATATATTTATGTATATGTATTAGTATAATTGTTATATTTAAGAGCATTATTTGGAAGAAAAAGATTCATAAAATTAAATTAGTAATATAAGAAATTAATTTTACTATTATCAAATATTTAGAATATAATAAAATATTGCGTTACTAGCATTACACTCTGCGGTCCATCACACCTAAACTATGATCAAGTGCAATCTCAGAATTATATCAATGAATGTTACTTAAATGTGAAATAACTGTTCAAATCAAATAAATATTATAATGCATGTAAATCGGTCGATTTAACAGATCCACCAACAAACATTCAATTACATGGGAATTGTAAACTAAATGCTTCACTATTTAAATTTTTCTTTATTTAACACAATAAAGTTCCCTACATAAACACGTTATGTGCCAATTAACGTAACACGTTGTTCGGATGTTTACAGTTACTTAAAATGTAAACGTTAATTACGTTGTACATGAATTCGTTAATATATGGTATATTTTTTTATTATTTTTTATAATACTGATTACTTTTTACTTAACTGACTTTTTACATTCAAATGGTCAATAATATATAAAAACTTCCAAACATTATTCAATAACGGGATATCATGTTTTTTATTTTATAGTACTATTCACATAAAATAGTAGTTGTATGGTATATTATAATAATACCTTCATATTTATCAATATTTTAATTCGACATAGTAAGCACGTATCAGAAGATTTTGTACTACACATTCTCGCCTATCTTTCTCTTGAATATATGATGCGTATCCAATCTCCAATTCTCCGCTGTTTAATACATTTGCCTATATTCTTAAGTCATGGCAATTGTTTTCTTCTTACAACTCTCCTGTTGTAACCTGCTGAACCCTATCGATCCATTGGATAATTCCTAATATGCAATTTTTGTTGATATTTTTATGTTTTTAACCAGCATATAAATCTACGACAGCGATTAGTGCGGCATGAACGAAGTTTGTCTTGACTATGGTCATGAAATAATACTAAAAACATTTGAAGCTATATGAGACTATATAACAAAAGTCCATCGCTTTGGCAGAAAATTTAAGGTACACCTACCATCATGTTCGAAATGGAATAACGGAGGTCCACAGGTTGACCCAAGAAGTTTGGATTGGTACACAGATGGATCAAAAATGAATGGAGGCACTGGTGCTGGTGTATATAGACCCAACAGTAAAATTTCGGAGACAATGGTTACATGACAAAGTGTTTTTCAAGCCAAAATTCACGCAATCAATTCATGCATAAGATCCAATATCATCAAAAAATCAACTGGCTCAAGAATTTTTATTTACTCTGACAGCCAGGCTGCTCTTAAAGCTCTGTCTTCTTGGACTTTTAAATATAAACAATTTCTCGAGTATTACGAATTTTTACTGTTACTTGCAGCTCTGAATAAGGAAGATCTTTATTGGGTTCCGGATCACAGGGGAGTTTTGAGAAATGAACAAGCTGATGGGTTTGGCAGAACCGAGTCAATATTACTTTTACAAACCCTCAATCCCTTTGTGAGTTAAACTGAGCCAATACAAAACAAAAAACCAAGGAGAGAGAGAATCGTTTACGGCTGGTGTACTAGGATGATTTCCCAGGACGTAGACAAAGCAAAGCACTGATAAAACCGTACTCCTACAAAAACATTCTTAAATTTTTAGAATGTAATTTATTGTTGCTAACGGGTTTCATTACCGGTCATTATGGTGTGAAATATCACCTATATAAACTTCGATTATCTGCTAATTCGAAATTTAGATTATGCATATTCTTTGTGATTGTCCAGCTTTAACGGAATTTCTGTCACCAAAACAGATTAAGAGCTTTTCTCTAGGTTTAATTCTGGACTTCGTTCACAAATCTTTAAAGATCTTTGTGTAATTAAAAGTGAAATTTAGTAAAATAAAACTTTTTTAGTCGCAGTACCGGCTCTTCGGCAATTTCACGACAATAGTTAATAATAATATTTGGGCAAAAATTTAATTTGTAAAATGATTAAATGATGACTTCAACATTTTGTTTTCAAACTATAATAAACGCGGCGTAACTTCAATATAAACATATATTAGAAATACAAAATAAAATGGTGTGAATTGATGTAAATATTTTCTGTTTTGTTGGACTTAATCGTTAAAATTGACGAATTTTTAGGTATTAAATCCAACATAATTATAAGAGGATTTACAAATTTTTTAGATTGTTATCACTATCCTTATATTCCAGACCTTGTGATTCACCAACAAATTTCGTGCATTTTAATATTCTAAGGTACTTCTTACGTAACATTAGCCCATCCCCGCGGAAAAAGGGTTAGAATATTCCCAAGAGGCATGCTTGTCGAAGGAAGCGACCTAAATTCTGTCGCACCACCCGAGTATGAATGTTATTGAATAAAGTTTCATTTGCGAAGCCCAGTGTAGGTATAAGCCTAGTACCACGTAGGTATAAATCTGAGATATAAATCAAGACTAACTGCTTTAACTGTTTTGAATAATTGAAGTCAGCCCCTTCTATTGAAATAGGGGTGGCTTCAATAGTGGCTATGGTTAAAACATAAAATAACGTGAGTAAAATAACTGTATTCATTGCTTTCATTCGGTAGGAAGTTGCATTCTCCAACTCGAAGAATGACCCAAATAACAGTAAAGGTGCTAGGTAGGCCTTATATTCTTTAAGCATACAGCTTGAATTGGTACCGGCGGAATTCCTTGGAATTTCAATGAGTGCATTTATCGTCGTATTATACTAATATATATGTTAGAGCACCGAGTTATTTAACCTTAAGAATATAAATTCACAAAAAAAACTATAGACTCTATAAATAGTTTTCCGAAACTATAAATACGAGTTATCTCACAACTTTAAGTTAAAAGTACGACGAATTAAAAATACTGACTTTTTATTGTACAGACAAAAAGTGTAGTCTAAAACATAATATATAATGCTTTAAATATTGCTACCTACATTTTTCAAGTTTAATTTCCTATTATTGAAATGGTCATGTATTCTCCGAAGAAATATTAAGCGCGATGGAGTTTTTGGCTGTCAAAAATTAGGAGTCTGATTTTAAGATGAGCGTCATAATAATAATCACAAGCAATTGTATTGAATTAAAAATTCAATAAAAGCAAGCAAAACTTAATTTATTCTCGTTTTTGGTGATACAAATTAGCACTTTTTCTCATACGTAAGCTTAGAAAAAAAATATTTAGTGTTTGTTATTTTTACATAATATAGATACATTCAAAAGTATCTAGTGCTAAAATTGGATATTATATAAAAAACCTGATATATTCTTTTAATTTACAAGCTATTGAATGAACAAAGTTAGGTAAGCCTAATTTATAGTATGTTCCCATTGCCTTAGTTAAGGCAGTTTATTTGCTTAAAGTTGCTAATGAATTTTAATTGACCACACAGAGAGCTTTCTTGCTTGTTAACTTAGTTAAGAATAAATCAATGAAAATTAGACCAAAAATGCCCAATGTGACATTGCAGAATATGTTTCCTAAAAGGAAAATTATCAAAATTTGACATAATTGACACATGACATTTCTGTTAAAAGAACGAAACTAAATATTATTTGCTAACAATTGAAATGCTAACAAACAGAATCTCTCCTAAAAGTTGCACACAATTTTCTGACACATAAAAGCTCTTTCACATGCAATAATCAACTTATGCCAATGGAAAGCACCAAATCTTAATTAATTTGATTTACATAAATTGATTTAGCTGCAGTGGGAACATAGTATTAGATAAATTGGTAAAGAAAGAATTTTGAGTGCTGATAGGACCCAAATGTTTTAAGTAAAAACTTATTTTTTTAAGACTAAATACATCTGCGCAATAATATGAGGAGTCTGCATATTCATAAGGATGAAGTAAAGGTCCAAATATGCTTAAAAAATTCAAGAACTTGTATTTAGAAATTATCAATAATAGTATGCTAAATAATACTCTATTCATCTGAAGATATAGAAACTCGGCAAACAACTGAAATAAATTTATAAATGAGGATCCAGACAAAAAGCTTATCAAAAATTCCACTTCTACCATTTTTCACTTTCTTATTAAACACCCCTCGTACATATATTTTTTAGTTTATGCATAATTGTATTAAATATATTTAATTTCGATTTTATACACTTCACACTTTAAAGTGTACCTTAATTAAACTGATACATCCCCATTTTCTTTTAATAGTATTTTATTCAATTATTTAATATGCGAAATTTGTTAAAATAAATTTTAAAAAAATTTAAAATTATATAAAAACGGCATCCAAATAGTATTAAGAGTATATTTCTATTAGCAGTGCCGAAGAAGAAAATGGTTATAATTTCTTAATAAGAAATATTACAAAATTAAAAAATTTTACATTTCAGATCTTGCAGAAATTTTGTTTTGTCTTCTTACTCCATGCATTTGTGCATATAATTGAAGCAGCTCCATTTATTGGTGCCGGAATTGGAATCAGAGGTAGTCTTGGAGGGTGTGGACCAGGACTTGGACTTGGAGCATCTGCTGGAATCGGACTTGGGGGAATTGGGGGAGCAGCTGTAGCTGGGCTTGGAGGAACCGCTATGGCTGGGCTTGGTGGAAGCGCTGTAGCTGGACTTGGAGGTAGAGCTCTAGGGATTGGAGGAAGCGCTGTAGCTGGGCTTGGAGGTACTGCTTTAGGGCTTGGAGGAAGCGCTGTAGCTGGGCTTGGTGGTGCAGCTCTAGGAATTAGAGGTAGTGCTTCCATTGGATTACGGTCTCAAATTCCTGTTAGTAATTACCAGTCCGATTACAATCGACATTATGTACGCATACGCCAAGAAACTTTGAATGTGAGACACCAACAACCACCACCGTGTGGACCACCGCCCCCACCACCATGTGGGCCACCGCCCCCACCACCGTGTCCGCCACCACCACCACCGTGTCCACCACCACCACCACCACCACCCAGAACACATGTACAAACTGAAATACTAGAAACAAGATCACAAGTTCTCCCACCTATCAACGAAGGATGTAACCAAGGCCCCCCTGATGTGTTAGTTAATGTTCGACGAAGCAGTTTAGCAAGTAACTGTTCTAAATAAATATCAAATAATTTGCAGAGGATTTTCAAATTTTTTAAATTCGATTAAAAAAATTAATGAATTAATTAAAAGGAATTATTAACCATTTTCGAATAACGTTGAAACTGCATTAATTATGGCTTAAATATATTTCAATTAAATAAATATAATTTGAAAACTAATTCATGGTTCATGTGAAAACATCTAATTGAATAAGGTCCAAAATTTAATGACAAACGTGAATGGAGAGTTCATATATAGCTAGACATAGGCGCAAAAATATCAAAAAATATAAAATGCTTTCCTCGTTCAAAATTTTTTATTGCTTCTTTTTAAACATTAGTGCTATACCTTAACAATTAAACTTCATAAATTAAACTCTAAACTTTGCATCAAAAGTGTTTCACGTATTAAATATTTTTGACATTGTAACAAAAAGGATTAAACTTAAATGTGAAGATAATATGAAAAATTATTTTGCAGGAACAATGTTAAGTTTTATTTAACACCTCGTTACTTAAAAGTGCGTACTTCATGATATAATGTACTGCCTGACTCATTAACTATCATATAAATGATTACTAACCATTTTCAAATCAATGGCACCAGTTACTTATCCCACATACGAGCACTTTTGGAAGTGGTTCCATTCTCCACCTATGCTCAACCTAAAAGAACAAAGCCACATACATACATATGAACGAGAGAAATATATTATATTTAATGAGGTAGTCTTTAAGAACACTTTGGAAGAAATCTTATATTATTGAAGAGGTAAAATTTGCTTGCTACAAAATTGTTGTGATCTAACCGAATCGTTAGGTTCGAAAGTAGCAAGTTCTGGAATACTCAGCGGAAAATATAAAAATTCCCATTTCTCTACTATCGATACAGTTTTTATCTGGTACAGGAACGTACCAGTGGGTATTACCTTGAAAACTACTGTATTCGTGTCTGCTTTCATACTTGAAGCCAAACAATTGTTGTCTGCACATCTCTCTTGTAAGCGATTTAATATATTTTATCATTATGAATGACTGCCAATAATGAGCTGGACATTGGCAATTTCCTTTTAGTATTAATTTGCATTGCATCTAAAACTCAACATATTTTCTTTTTCCACTTCGAATTGTTGTAGTAAATCAATTACCATTCAATGTAAGAGTAACTTTTTCTCAATGTCCAAGTGAGTTTTCAAACATTCAAAATTGCTTTTCGACGTCTCGGGGTTTTAATTCCATATGGCTCATAATTTCTCCGCTTGTATCACGGCAAAAAATTTGGTAAGTTTTTTTCGTTTCATTATCACAATTCTTAATTAAGAAATGCCTAAAATTCATCATCTTCAAACTTTTTTGTCTAGCCAGGTCACTTTTTGTCTTTGATGTCCAAATGATCACTTTTTAAGTGATCTTTAAGTGATATTATAAATACTCCGTTTTCGATGTAGTGCCGGTGTAAGGACACACAAGCCGTCCATTAGAAAGTCAAGTTATAGACACATCATGCCTAAATATATATTCACCTAAATAAAAATGAATATAGTAAATATATATTTAGATATGATAGGTATTTGAAAATAGTTTACTATTTTTCGATTTTGTTAATATATTTAATTCTGGACTCAAGAAATCAATACCTCTCTAAATCATTTAAAGAAAATTCAGACATCCTTTACACTAATTTTTTACTTTTAGCATACTCATAACTATTCGAAGTCATTGACTTTAAAAAATGGCGTATTCAGGATTTAGTATTATCTTAATATTGTAATATTATGTTTATATATTATTATCTTTAGATTTCACTGTTAGAGATGGATATTTCCATTTAATTCTTCTAAATATACCATTTACTTTAAGAATTATTTTTTCGTTAATTTTTATCATTTACAGACAACATCCTCCTCTATCTGATTTTACTTTAACTAGGATGAATAAAAAAACTTAACACGTTATTAATTATTTCCTCTAAAATACATGATAATTTTTTCATTCATGAATTTCTTATGTCACTTTCAAACAATCCTTAGATTAAAATCAACATTGGGTAGGAATTCGAAACGTTTCTTCTTCGTCTTCTTTCTTAACATAATAGTGGTTCCTCAACAAATTTTTACCATCTGACTCGAACCGATGCTAAGTCTTTTCAATTACTCAAGCATAGCTTCATTAAATCTTCTTCAACAGCATCTAGCTACCTCTTTTTAGATCTGCCTCTTCTTCGGAATCCAATCACGTTTCTTACGAATGCTTATTTTGCTGATCGTTCTCTGTTCATATGTTGAACATGTCCTAGCCGTCTTAGTCATTGTGATTTTATGTATCGTATTACAATCTGCTTGTGGATTGAATTCTCTAATTCGTGCTTGTAGCAAATACGATATGTGTCATTATCTAGCCGTATTGGGCCAAAAGTCTATGGAGTTTTTGTTGTCTTGATAAGATTTTAGATTTAAAAAGTTTTATATGTGCGTAGTATATCTTATTTGCTGGTTGAATTCTATCTTGCAGCAAATTTATGTTCTCTAGAATTCAGTACCACTTCAAGGTATTTGAATTCTGTGACTGCTTCAAAGCTAATATTTGTCAATATTGAGCTAGTAACCAAACTCTGGATTTTAATCTCAGCATATATTTTGTTTTTTGATGAGCCCGATGTTCTCAAGTTTTCTGAACGACGATCTTAAAGCGCTGGGACTTGAGTGTATTCACCTTAGTACTGTGGCTTTTGCATATCACTTTCTTTTCATATTAAATTTAATTTATTTTACTAAATAATGTAAGGTTCGGGAAAGATATTTTAAATGGATATACTGGGTTGAAGCCTAATGCACTTTTCTCTTGTATTGATAGTACTTTGACTTTTTATAGAATTATTATCCTGTAATATATAAGAGTGTACTCCATTCCATTTTATGAATTATTCTCTTCAGAAGTAGTACTTGGTGTGTCATTCATGCATGTTCATTATTCTACATTAAATTTTAATTTATTACACTTCACACTATAAACTGTTGAAAACAAAAGAACTTATATAAAAAGCTATTTAACACTAATTTAAAAATTTATTTTGATCAAATTTATTTTGATGTAGTTCGCCGGCTGTGAAATGGTAAAGACTATTTTAATGTACAGTTAGAAAGATTTCAATTATAAAAAATTCTTTTTCAGAATGTAAGATTTATTTTAATTTTCTACATAATATCAATTTTGTTCAGAAGAGTTCCATCAATATCGTTTTATAATGACTCAGAATACAACAACCCATCAAAATTTAAGTGTTTAAATTCTACAAATGGGTTATCAAGTAGAGTTTCTAATGCACCAGAAAAACACAACAGATCACCCAAAACTATACCACCGGGAATGCCGTTATTTAATCACAAAATTTTGGAAGATGTGCTTCATTCCAACACTAAACTTTTATTGAAACAACATAAACTAATAAATGATTTGTATGCAACACTAAAATCTACTTTACCAGGCTATAAAAAACTCATTGATAGAAATAAACGTGAAAAATCTAGTATAAACGTACGAAAGTCCAGCATTCGTAAATCACGCTCCAGAAAAGTTGTTCGTAGAGCTACATATGTCCAAACCGGTATAAGCATGCTAGAACCAATAAATATTTCACAATACGGAGTTCGCATGCATAGAAAAAGTGATAAAAATCTTTGTAAAAGCATCCAAGAACCATTAAGTAATTTATCAGTACTGAGTGTCAATAAGTCACGATCCAAAAAATCCATTTACAAAAATAAAAAAAAACCTCGTTCATGTAGATCTAATTATATTAGCATACGTAAGAGTCTTTGTGGACCTTTACGCAGATGCGATCTTATGCGCTTACATAAGATTATTCATCGTCGTTTACGAACAAATAATCGTAGTCGTCGTGGAAGACCTTTACGTAAACGTTTACGTAAAAACAACCGTATTCGTCTAAGTAAGAATTGCCGTGGACGTTCAAGTAGATACGTTCAAAGACCACGTCAAAAAAATAGGAATTACAAAATTTACAAAAATCGTAATAATGGTGAGCGGTCACGTTTCCGTTTCTGCTACAGCTACCGTTGACATTCCCAGTGTTACTCACGTTCTCGGAGAAATGGGCGCCAAAAGTGATTTTTAAAATGGTTATACATTTTAGTCTTTTAACGTTTTTATATAAAGCATAATTATTAAGAATCATTGAATAATAAAAAGCTTATTACATTGTTCACACTGTATAAGATATATACATATATAACTATATATTAGTTTATTATGTATTTCTCTAATTTTTTCAAGCTATCATGTGTGTTTTTTCAATTGGCATTAATAAACTTTTACTTCGACGATATTTCAACAATATTCTATAGTCATCATGAGCTTTATGTTGGTTGGAACTTGTGAATTGAAACACATAACCAAATAAATAGTTAACATACATCCTCTCCTGTGCTGATTTCCGATACTTCCGATTTTTGATACTGTTTGTTTACATCGTGGCATGTTTGCGTATTGCTTAAATATATATCTTCAATTAATTTTAATTGTTCTAAAATATTTATACTTAATTATTATGATGGATCCGTGCCCATTACAATCAATTTAATTTTTTAAATTATGTTTGCCCATTACACCAATTTTTGTTTTTGTATATTTAAACTCTATACGAGCTCTATTTATGCTCGTATTTTATGCTCTATATATATATATGTGTTTTTTTACAACACGTATTCATACATCGGTCACAGAAATCTGGTCCAAAAGTTTGGAAATATACAACCTCGAATGGTTTAAAAAATAAGGATAGCTTGATTAATTTTATTCTATAAAGGATTTGTTGTATTTTGCAGGATTTCAAGGGCAAGTATTGATTCAAACTACAAAAATTTGTGAAAATAATCAAATTTTCGCAACCTATTTATTTCAGGTGGTTACCCGATGTGGCTATCTTTTACCTTGACTATGACCTTCAATCGGTTAAAAAATAAGTTGCATGCTTCACGACTGTGGTCAATGGCTTTTTTCAGCGCATCCATACGACATATTTTTTAGTTCTCACCTCACCATTGTGTAGATGAAAAGAAGTGTGGAACATGATTTTTTAACCATTCTTGCTTCACACGAGCTAAATGAGACAGTTCCGAATCTTGTTGG